TACAAAATTCTTTTTCATTTTCAGAAAGCTCCTTGTTTTTTTTGACTAATGAACAAAAATAATCTTTTCTACTTTCTCTATCACAATTAGCATTAGCATAATTAAGTATTTCACCGTAAATTTTATCTACAAAATCCCTTCTTTCTTGTGATAACGATGATAATAGCATAGTATGTGACATTATACAAAAATATAATATATAAAATTCGACTTGGTGTTTAATGAATGTAGAGATATTTTGAGAGTAACATAAAGAAAAGTTGCCGTGTCACTTTCTAAATTTCGTAGATTTTATATTTGGTGTAATATTTTTTTTTTGTTTCCCTAACAATTACCCAAATTTGAATGCACGGGAAACATTCTATTATAAAGAAGATCTGTTAAAATATTGAGACAACTACGGTAATAAATCATGAATCTTCTAAACATTTTGTTGCTCAATTTTTGTAAATTGAATTGTTGGGATCAAAATCAAAGGGTAAAACTTCGTAATGAATCGTTTTTTGGTACGCTGGAGCAGATACTTGACCAAAAGGAAATCGTGTTCCGCTTTAGATTTTTTTGCGTAGTGTCTACTGCTATATACCATTAGGTCTTCGTCTTGCTCTGACTTTTTGGACCAATTGAAATGACCAAAAACCTGTGGAGCTTTTATCTTAGATCCCAAATCATCACACAACGTACACAGTTTTTTTCCAGCAGTTAGCCATAGTTTGACTGGTAACTTTTTTCCAAGATTTTGCTGTATATTTAATTGCATGTTTAATTGAAATTTATTCATATTCTTGACCATTTCTCTCTTCTTCATAATCACTAATTTTTTTTGCAAGAAAAGTTTTTTGTAATTCACCTTGAAGCTGTTAATTATCCCGGCATCACATGGTTGTAAAAATGTTGTTGTGTTTGGTGGTAAGAAGTAAACTCTTACATTAGTTTAAATTTTTTGATTCAGAAATAGAATGAGTGGGAGCATTGTAAGCGCGTTCAAATTAATAATTGAGTGACACATCGGATTTCTTAATTTGGTAATGATCTCCTCAAATCATGATCGTCGGCCGTTATAGTGAGAGAATTTTCAGAGGCTGGCCGTTATACACTATAGGAAATTTAATTAAGAAAACCGTTATATAGTAAGGTTTTTATATAGTAAAAATCTGGTTTCTGATTTACAGTGTGTTATAGAATGGGGGCTGTTATAGAGGGAGCCGTTATAGAGAGAGTGAACTGTAAGCACCACCCACAGTTTTGTTGACCAAAACACGTCAAAATGATGGTGCTTATTATTATATTCCAGAGAATACGGTATGTGAATTTGTCATACGTGAAATTCAAATTAGCCAATCAGAATTTCACATACAAACACCCCACCCCAAAATTTTAATTATAGATTTCAATTTTCACATACAAATATGTATTAGTATAATGATTGACTAACATCAACATGAGCTTTTTCCCAATGAAAATTACCAACATTTTTCAAACCCTTGACAAAAAGCCATTGCTTAATTAAAATAAATATTATTATTATGTGAAAAAAGAAGTAATGCTAATATGTGAGAAATAATCAAGTATATATAAATATGCATAGTTGGATGAATCACAGTGAGAAGCCTTTTAAGATTTAGCATTTCTTCTTAAATATCATCAACAATCACAAATATTTCAACAACTTTTAAATTGCTCTTCTTTTTTTTTTTTCAACTAAAAAATGAAGGATTTTAATTCGTGTCACCAAAAAATCTGAATTTTTATCAAATAAAGAAAATTTTTTTACAATAATAATAATAATACACATTTAATTTTTTAAAAAATGACCCAGCCCCAGCAAGAAGCCCCAACTTTCAAACTTGTCCTCGGTAAATTATTAATTATTACTGTATTTTCTAAAAAGATATTTTGAAAGGGGTTTCATTAATTTTGTATTTTGACTAATTTGACATATAGTTGGTGACGGCGGTACTGGCAAAACTACCTTCGTTAAACGTCATCTAACAGGAGAATTTGAAAAAAAGTATATGGGTAAGTCAACATAACTAACCATACATGATCAACATTCAGCCATTAATAATGATGATACAACAAAAATGATAACATTTAATATTATTTCTTTATTTGGTTAGCAACCCTTGGTGTTGAAGTTCATCCACTAAGTTTCCATACAAATTTCGGCCCAATATGCTTTAATACATGGGACACTGCAGGACAAGAAAAATTTGGTGGTCTTAGAGATGGATATTATATTCAGGGTCAATGTGCTGTAATTATGTTTGATGTGACCTCACGTATTACATACAAAAATGTTCCAAACTGGCATAGAGATTTGATTCGAGTGTGTGAAAATATTCCCATTGTTCTTTGTGGTAATAAAGTGGATATAAAGGTAAATAAAAAATAAAAAATGATTAAAAGTATAAAGAATATGAGATTATAAAAATTATATATATAAATATTAAACTTCTCCCCTCAAAAATAATAGGAACGTAAAGTGAAAGCTAAAACTATTACTTTTCATCGTAAAAAGAATTTACAATATTATGATATTTCAGCTAAAAGCAATTATAATTTTGAAAAACCATTTTTATGGTTGGCCAGAAAACTTATTGGGTATTTTATAATAATCATTATAATCATTGTCGTGTCGTCGTTATTATTTTTTAAGTATATATACTAAATTATTATAATTATTTTAAACTATCAAATAGAAATCCAAATTTAGAATTTGTTGCTTCTCCGGCGCTTGCACCACCAGAAGTAGAACTTGATCCTAAATTAGTTGAACAATATAATCAAGAATTACAAGCAGCATCAGCCCAACCCCTTCCTGGTATGATTTTATTCTTCACTTATGTGTTGTTATTACGTCATATAACTTAATTATAATATAATATTTGATTTTTAATAGAGGAAGACGATGATCTTTAAACAAATCATTGATATTATATATATGAATAAGAGATACGTTGAGCTATTCGCAAGCTATGTTTTTAAAATCAAAAAAAAATAAAAAAGATCCTTATACTACTTTATACAAGTTCTTGATGGCAATTTTTCTTTGATAGTTACTGTATTATTATAAGCACTAGGAAAAAAATTTTTATTAGAAAAAAGAATAATTTTAATTTTACACACACAAATATAATGACTTATAAAAATTACGGCAATAAAAATACAAAATTGTTTATAATAAAAATAAAAAACAACAAACAAAAAAATATTTATAATTATAATAATAATCATCATAATAGTGCTTGCTCTTGGAATTCACCATTATATTCAGCACTTCCTTCCATAGTCATAAAAATCATCTGACAAACTTTTGTTCCAGGGTATAAAGCTAATGTTAAGCTTGAAGCATTAAAAATCTCAAGTACTGTCTGATTGTGTGAACCAGGATGTATAAAAGAAGCCGTTATATGCACCGATAATCCTAACCTTGCAAATCTTGATCTGCCCTCTAAACAAAAACAAATATATAATTGAATCAATAATAATGACCATGATAATATTTATATTAATTATTTCTTTGCTACGATTTTTTTTTTTTTACCTACTAAAGCACATAAATTTGGTGGTAATTGAACCTTTTCTTTTGTAATACCCAAACACATTTGACCAGGTCCAAGATAATATGGCACATCATCTTCTAACGTTAACTAGATAAACATATTAATGTTATTTATAAGCATTTAAAGATGATAGTATTTAAATAATAATATCAGCGGCAAATTATAAACTTACTGGACTAGAAAAATTTTGATAATCATTTGCTCTTGCTGAATTGTTAATTTGCACTGGACCGTTACTATGAATAAAATATCTAAATTCATTGCCAAGCGTTAAATCTATACTGAAAAAAAAATTAATTTGAGAAAAAATCAATAAATTAATCCTGATACAAAAAAAAAAAATCAGACCATTATCAAAAAAACTAACCAACCTTGCTGTTCCAATAAAAGTATCATTATTTGGTTCAACCTTGAGTTTTCTTCATTAATAATAACGGAAATAATATCATAATCATTAATATTTAAAAAATAAGTAATACTATTCATTCAATTAGAGCGACCTACTTTTCATCCAAATATTTTTTGATTTCTGTTCCTGATAAAACTCCCATTTTAATAATAATAGTAATATTGTTGTTTTTATTTTTAGGTAATTAAATCAATAATATTAGAGTTGAGAAGATGATTTGTAATATTTGTTCTTGCAATAAAATTAAAAATGGTCTAAAAATCTTTCTTATTAAGGATAATGCTTTTCCTTATTAATAAAATTCTCGACCATTGATTATTTATTAGTAATAATAAAATAAAGTTTGATGGGTTACACTTCTTCCCACGATTAAATGAATTGATCCGCGTGACTAATTTCGGTGGTGTAATTTGTTAAACGCCATATTTAATATGGTTGGCTCGGTAGTTGCTGCGCCATACGCTCAAATTTCAAAAATTGCGATTTCGTGATTCGTTCAAAAATGCAATAAAATTTTTCAAAAAAGGTCTTCACGTGATTTTGGTTAAAATTATTTTTCCTTCCTGCCATGTCGGCGGAAATTGGACATTAATTTTCATTTTTGTAATATAAATTTATGATATAATAGAGCGATCTGCAACGTATAGTAAAAATTTCTTTACCTCTATTCAAAAAATTCAAGTCACTTGATATTAATTTAAAATCAAAAATCCATTGAAAACAAGAATCATTTTCAAAAAGCAACGTCACAAAGAAACTCAAGGGCTTTGATTAATAAAGAAGAAGAGTTGAAAATGTTCTATAAATACTTAATACGTATGGCAATCAATCAATCAATCAATCAATTTATAAAAAAACTAAAGAGCTTGGCTTTAATTTGTAATTTATATAATGAAAATAATAATAAATATTATTTAAAAAACATTACTGTGTTAATAAAAATATGCAAATTTCCTAGATTTGGATTCCAATAAAAAAATTTACTTTTAACTAACAAGAATATTCAAAATACATATCTATGCATATTTATATTTCTTATTGGATGATTTTAGCTCTTGCCTTAAATGAATTAAAAAGATATGATTAATTACCCTTTAAAAGGCTTTGCCTGTGAATCAATATTATATTCACTTGATATAATTCTTTATTCATCCCGGGACACTGTTTTTTATAGCGATTTTTTATATTTGGAACCCCCATTTCATCATTAACATTATTGTTGTCATGGTATTTTTGATCTTGTTGTTGATGTGTCAATATTTGAGATTTGAAAATTAGGATTTCAGCAACAACAACAACAGCTGGAAGGGAGGATTAATAAAAACAATAATACTAATGTAAATAAAGGTGATGATGATAAAAATAATGATAATGATGCAGATGGTAGTGTTAATGATGTTGACAATAACAGAAGAGGCGCTTTTTTGTATTTTAGTGTTGAATCTTTAATGTATACGAAGTAATTATATATCATACACCACATGTAATTTTGTGATTATTAATTAATATTATTAATTATTATTTTATATCATAATATTTAATATGCTTTACATAAAAATACAAAATTAAATTGCGTAAAAATGCCAATTTATTAACTTCACGCATACTACAATCAGAAAATGGTTTTTTATACTAACTGATTGATTCATGATTAATTATGATAGAATCCAAGGTAAAATTGATTCTATTCATGGCAAAGCAAATAAGTTACGTCAAAGCAGGCTCCAGATCCACAAGGAAATTCGTAATCTTGTGGTTTAGTGTCATCGAAGATTGGCAAGATGGTTGTGCGAAAGCCACCATGTTCCTGAGTTTAAACACAAGACATGTTAAACAATGCAGTTCTGGAAAAATCCACTCTAAAACTGCAAAACAAATGTTGACCTGATCACATTACCATTTTCGCCAATATTTGCATCACAAATCCTGCAAGTAGCCTTGGTTCAAGACCATCATCTGCATTGAGAAATACACTAGCAAAATATGCGGATGTTACGGAATTATCAAGTCAAATCTGGGTGGTTCAAAGATCTTTAATTGTACATCTTGCAAATCCATCCACCATTAATAGATGTAAACGGAGCTCGTGATATACTTTTGAAGTATATTATAGAAAAATAACAAGAGTCGTTTGTGACCTTGGGGCCTAAATCCGAGACACTTTGACTTGTACTTAGTATTAGTATAGGTTCAATGTAAGAGGTTATGTTTTTTTAAAGGAATTAATTGTGCAACAAAAGCATGTGATAATTATTCCTTTTTTTTTTGTGTATATAGGTTAAGTAGGCCTTACTTATTATTATCCTTTTGTCCTAAAATTAATTAAGTTACACCGATGTGTATTACAAATACAGTAGTAATATTTTTTTCCACAATAAAAATTTTTTATACTTCTTATCATGGAAAATAAAAATAATCTATCAATAATATCTGATGTTTCTAATGACAATTTAGTGGTTGATGGAGATGTTGCAAGTGTAAATGATACAGCAACAATTACAACAATGCAAACACCTTTTTTACAAACTATATCTCCAGAAATTTTAAACCAAGATCAAAATTCACAAATGGTTATTATTGATGGTGACGACGACAAAAATAAAAGTAATGTTATAAATTCTTCGTCTAATCAAATTCCAGCACCAATCAACACAACAATAACTGCAACCACAACAGAAACACCTATGATTACTACAACAGCATCTTCATCAAAAACATCAGAAATACCAACGACAGAAAATGCAACGTCAACAATAATGATATCTGAATCTACAACTGAACTTTTTAAAAGTATAAAAGAATATTTAAATGGTGATTTGAGTATAAAATCTGCTGAACACGTTTACGAGTTTCTCCGTAAAGTAAAAGATGTACCAAGGATTGATCGTGGCCATGTCATTAATATATTAACTCGGACACATGACCCAATCATATTACAAAAACTGGTAAATGATAGATGTAGTTATATTTTAAGAAATTGGATAAAAGAAGAAGCAAAACTGCCTGATAGTAATTTACTTCTTAGGTTATTGAAAACAGTTCAACATCTACCTGTTGATTTGGAAGTTTCAACAAGTTGTGGATTAGGTAGAGTGGTTAATAATAAAAAGGTAAAAGAATCTAATATACCTGGTGTCGCAGATATCGCGTCCAAATTATTAAATAGATGGCTACAAGATGCTAGGCAATTATCGGAATCTGCTAGTAACAATAATCATTCCCACATAAAAAGCCCTAAAACAAAAGAACATCATCAAAAAGATAAATCAACGACGATGACAACAACAGCAACAACAACATCGTCAACACCATTATCAACAACTATTACTGAAATAAAAAAAGAATTAAACCAACCTATAGTAAAAGGTATTTTTGAAGATATGTTTGATTTTTCAAATGTTGGCAACCCTTTGTCTTCTGCTTCTTCAAATATTTTCAAACCTCAATCACCAAATATGTTTAAAATAAAAGATCCTACGAAAACCTTTCTCAAATCTGAAAAATTTGCAACAAAGGTAATGTCATCGTCATTATCACCAATTAGTGATAATAATAATAAAGAAGATGATGTTAAAGTATTTTCTGAAATTAAATCATCATCGTCAATTTCTTCAAAAAAACGAAAACGTGTTAGTTTTGCACCAGATTACATGCTTGAGCAAGTGAAATTGTTTGAAAATAAATATCCTGATGATGTAGAAGATGATATGTCATTATTGCCTGTTGGTTTTTCACACCATATTGGAGATATTAGAGATTTTGATCGTAGTGAAGGAAGAGCCGTTTTCAAGAGAATGAGAAAAGCACCATCTACAATATGGTATACTCCACTTTTATTAAAACCGTCACCCTCTTCTTTTAATAATAATGTTGGTGACAAATATAATAAAATGGTAAAAAAGCCTAGTAAAATTAATAGTAATAATAAGGAAGCAAAAATTCAAGAAAGTCGTGAAAAACAAACCTTGGAAGTTATTTATCTTACAATTGATCAAGTGCCTGATAATCCACATGAACCTGACGATGATGGTAGTAATAATAATAGTCAATCACTAATCCCTCCAAAAAATATTCCATTAAATAAAAAGGAAAAAAAGATTGAAAAATTAAAACAAAAAATTGAATTAAAAGAAGCTTTAAATGACGCATATTCCACATGGTTATTGGTTCATCCTAATAATATTCAAAACGTTGTTCATCATCATCATGTGCCTGCTGCTGCGCCTGCTCAACAACAACAGCAGCAACAACCAAATGTCACAAGACCATTTACTAATCCTAGTTCATGGAGTTATGATCCAAATCAAAATGCTTCTAATAATGTTGGCTTGGGCATCGGAATCGTAGCAGGACCGACACCAGGAATTAATGTAGTCAATAATAACGTAGGCGGTAATAGTAATAATCAAGCTATGCCAAATTATTATTATCATCACCCAAATCCTAATATTCCTGCACCGATCCCTGTCCCACAACCTCCATTACAATTACCACAACCTCCTCTACCTCAGACACAACAACAACTTCCTTTACAACTCCCGCCCTATCAACCATCAAATGCTTCACAACCAAATCAACCACCTCAACCATTATTACAATTTCCTTATTTTGTTGGTAATAATCATAATCCAACTGTTCAACCAAACTTTTATCCATCACCACAATTCCAATTACCTAACAATGCTCCTTCGCCTACACAATTTCCATTACCTAATAATGCTCCTCTATCTAATCAATTTCAATTGCCCAATAATGCGCCTTCACCCACACAATTTCAATTACCTAATAATGCACTTCAACCCAATCAATACCAAGTACCTACTAATGCTCCCCCGACTACACAATTCATGGGGATTGTTAGTGGTAATAACAATAATAAACAGCAACAACATAAACAACAGTCAGCATCTTTATCTTTATCATTGTTAAACCAACCTTTAACAAATGATCAAAATCAAATTATTAATAGACCACCAACAAATTCATCACTGTCTACAAACGCTACGACAACTAACAACAACAACAACAACAACAACAACAACAACAACAACAACAATAATAATAATAATAGAGGAGGAGGGGGTCGAATTGGCCCTTCTAGTTCAGGAACTGGTAGACCAGCCAGTGGAAAAGGATCTGAATGTTGGTATTATAAAGCTGGGCGATGTACCTTAGGAAATGAGTGCAATTTTCTTCACAGTGATCACTAGAAAAAATTCTTAATTATTTGCGAGCTATTGCTTTTACAACCATAGACCTGTTGTTTTTATTTTTTTTTATACAGAAAAAAAAATATATTTTCTAAGAATAAGGTATTCTTAATAATTCAATTATTACAATTGATTAATAAGAGAGTAATAATCTTGAATAATTAATTATCTTAATAAAATGTAAATACTTAAAATTAAGGACTTGATTTCATATAAATTTTTTAGTTTTTTTGAATAATCATTTGACATGTGATTAAAGCCTTATATATCTATTGTATAATATAACTAAATCATTAAGATGAGGAGGAGGGACATGGAGAAAGTTAACAAGTTTAAATTTTAGAAAAGTTAAAGCTTTCAAAGAAACATTTCATAAATTTGTGTTTTTGATAAATTATAGGAATGATAAAATCAAATTAAAATTATATACATATCTATCAAATAAATAAAAATATATTCCAATCAATAAAAATATAATAGTTAACATCTGTCTGCCTATAAAATTGTATTGTATGAATCGATTCTTCTATAGTTAATGTTAAATAAATCTTTATAGAGCACAAAAATACATATATAGGATGAGAGTGACTGTATTACTTTTAATTAATAATCAAGGTGATAATGCCATTATCATTGATAATGATGCTATTTCAGAATTAAATCATAAATAATACATCTAATTCATCCGAAAAAATAAAAGACAAGGCTTTAAATATGAATGACTGTATCTCCTCCATAGTTGATATGTTTATTCATTAACTTTGTAAAGGTAACAAGATATTGATTTACATTTTAGATTTAGATTTTCTTTATATTGAACCTTTTTATTCGATTCCTTTTTCAAAATAGATAATTGTAATAATCTTTCAAGTAAAATATATTTTAGTGCCAAAATCCAAAAATAACAATGATATTCTTTGGTGTCATGATATTATAAAATCACATGACTCAATCATTTATTGTTAGCTGTTAGCTGTTAGTATTAACATTAGCATTAGTATAGGGTTTCTATTCGAATAAGGTTTATTTGAATTATTTGTTTTATTCGTTATGAATTTCACTATTCGAATTACATTGAAAGTTTATTCGAATAAACGAATAAAACGAATAAAACTAATAATTCAAAATTCGAATAATACTACATAAGATTCTAATTATATACTAGCTAATCGTGGTTTGACATATCCTCTACAATTAAAGATGAGAGGTGAATATTAATCCAAGCAAGTTCTCTTTATAAACGTATTCAGTTTCTCTCCATTGTAAGCGTTCATGCGTTAAAAAAAAAGCAATATTCATTTATTCACATCTCGATTCATGAATTGATTGAATTGAAAATTTATGAATAAAAATGGAATTGACAAAAGTTTTCTTTTTTAAATTTGGAAAGTCGAGGATTGGATTTAGAGTGTGCGCGTGAGTGCGTGTACGTATGAGCTTTTGAAGGAATTGAATCAGGTTTGAATTAGAAAATTAGAAAATGAATAAATTTTCTTCGTTTTTATATATAGCAGTTATGTATTTTGAATTTTAATTGTGGAATTAATATATCAACATATATTATCTCTTATGATTTTCCCGCTTCAATGAGAAAAATATCAGAAAAATAAAAATCTACATCATTTCAAAGCTAGAATTTTTTCTTTTTACAATGTTTTCTTGGGCAGACTTTTATGTGATACGGGTTAAAATCTATTACAACAACAAAAAAAAATCATTTGCTACACGCGCATATTCAAAACCTTTAAAGAAAATTTCGCAAAAGAAAACACATTTCAAACAAAATAATAATTCAATTAAACATAAAAATAAATTATTGGTTGAAGGACTTGAATTAGTCTATGAATTATTTCAAATCAAGCTACAACAACTTCCACTAATGATAATGATAATAAATTGAAAGAGGAAGATAATGAAGAAAAATTGAAAGAACTAGAGGCTTTGATTCGAAAAGTGCAATTAATCAAAGAAATGAATGTTACAACAGAAAACTTGGGAAATTTAACATTGTCTCGTTTGTAGACAATCAGTTGATAAATAATTAGTATGATCTATATATCTTTATATATTCATCATCCTCTTTCTTCTTCATAATCATCATCTTTCTTGAACCCCTTCAAGAAATTTTGATCTTTAATCTTGTGAACAAAATAAATTTAATGTATACAAGAAGGTTAAAAAAGAAATCAGCGTAATGAAATTTTCTAAATATTTTTAAAATAGTTTTTTTTTACAATTTTATTAATATTCATTCGTTAACTATGCAAATTAAAATTTAAAAACAAAATCAATAAATAATAAATAAAAACATTTCTACATTTGAATTAAGCTCGTTTTTCTGCCATAAGATTTAAAGCAGAACCCGCCTTAAACCATTGAATTTGATTTTCATTGAATGTATGATTAACTTTTAAATCTAGCGTTTCGCCAGATTTTTTATGAACTCTAAGTGTCATGGGTTTTTCAGGCGCCAATTCAGTAAGTCCTATAATTGATAGGTTATCAGTTGGATCAATCTTATCATAATCTGAAGGATCAGAAAATGTAAGAGGTAAAACTCCTTGTTTCTTCAAATTAGTTTCATGAATTCTTGCAAATGATTTAACAATCACAGCGGCACCACCTAGATGACGGACTTCGAGTGCTGCATGTTCACGGGAAGACCCCTCGCCATAATTTTCATCGCCAATTACAACCCAAGAAACACCTTTAATAATATATTATTGTTATTGGAAAAATATTATATATATATATATATATTGTATAAAAGCATCAGAATAATCAAGCACATATGTATTTACCTTTGGATTTATAATCCCTGGCTACATTAGGTACAGCATCATATTCTCCGGTAAAAAGGTTTTTAATTGAATTGGCTTTACCATTTTCAAAATTGACTGCTCCAATCAACATATTATTTGAAATGTTATCTAAATGTCCACGAAATTTAAGCCAAGGACCAGCCATAGAAATATGATCTGTTGTACATTTGCCTTTCACTTTAATTAAAATTGGCAATTTTTCTGCATCTTTACCATCCCATTTTGGAAATGGTTCCAATAATTGAAGGCGGGTACTTTTAGGATCTACTAATACTTGAACAGAAGTACGATTTTCTGGAGGTGCTTGATAGGTGTCTACACCAGGATCATAACCACGAGGTGGCAAGTCATTTCCATTTGGATTTTCGAACTTAAAAGGCTTTCCATCACTACCAATCAAAGCATCTTTAAGAGGATTGAATTTAAGATCACCAGCAAAAACCATTGCAGTCACAATGTCAGGAGAGGTAACAAAAGCATGAGTTGCAGGATTGGCATCATTACGTCCAGTGAAATTTCTATTATAAGATGTTATAATAGAGTTTTTTTCCCCTTTCTTCACATCTTGACGGTCCCATTGTCCAATACATGGACCACAAGCATTAGCCAAGACAATACCTCCAGCCTTGGAAAGTATCTCTGCCTGACCATCACGAGAAATAGTTGCACGGATTTGTTCAGAACCAGGTGTAATTGTAAAAATTGATTTAGCTTTAACTCCATGATCAAGAGCTTGTTTAGCGATAGATGCAGCACGAGACATATCTTCATATGAAGAATTTGTACAAGAACCAATCAAACCAACTTTCAATTCTGAAGGCCAATTATTTTTTTCTACAGTATCTTTAAATTTACTCAAAGGGGTAGCAAGATCAGGCGTAAATGGTCCATTGATATGAGGCTCTAATTCAGATAAATTTATCTCTATAACATGATCATAATTGGCACCTTCGTCTGATTTTAAATTGTGAGCAAATGATTCAGAAAAGGCTGCAATATCAGCACGATTAGTGGCACGAAGATAATCACTCATACGACTATTAAATGGAAAGAGAGATGTTGTAGCACCAATTTCAGCACCCATATTACAGATGGTGGCCATTCCGGTACAAGATAATGATTCAACACCTGGACCAAAATATTCAACGATTGCACCTGTACCTCCTTTTACAGTTAAAATTCCAGCCACTTTAAGTATAACATCTAATAATTAATAGATACACATGTATTAGTTATCATTTTGAATTATTGATACATAAATCAAAAAGCCAATCAAAGTCAAAAATAAAGATATGCATATATAATTGAATGAATACCTTTAGGAGTTGTCCAACCACTTATTTTACCAGTTAATTTAACGCCAATAACCTTTGGACATTTTAATTCCCATGGAATATCAGCCATGACATCAACAGCATCTGCACCACCAACACCAATAGCCACCATACCCAATCCACCAGCATTTGGGGTATGAGAATCTGTACCAATCATAAGACCACCAGGAAAAGCATAATTTTCTAAAATAATTTGATGAATGATACCAGAACCAGGCTTCCAAAACCCAATATCATATTTTGCAGTAGCAGAAGACAAAAAGTCATAAACTTCAGCATTGATCGATATTGCTCTTTCCAGATCTTTGGCACCACCTATTTGAGCTTCAATTAAATGATCACAATGAACCGTTGTTGGAACAGCTACTTCTGGGATACCAGCAGACATAAATTGAAGTAGAGCCATTTGTGCAGTAGCATCTTGGCACGCAACACGGTCAGGACGTAATTTAAGGTAACTTTGTCCTCTAATAATTTCTTGACCGTGAGGATCATCCAAATGACCATAAAGAACTTTTTCAGAAAGCGTTAGTGGTCGGTTAAGTCTGCAATTCAAAAAAAAACATTATCATTATCATCATCATATCATCGTTATCATCACCATCATTATCAAATTAATTGAAAAGTTTTAATTAATAATTATTACCTTTTTTTCACAATGGCCAAATGATCTTGTATTCTTTGATAATTGATATGTTTATTAGGTTCAAAATTTGAAATTTGAACCTTTTTATTACTAATTTCACCAGTAATTACTTGAGCAAAATTACGACATTGAAATTTGCTTGATGAAGATAATATCTAGTTTGTCATTAAAAAAAAAATCCAATAATAATTTCTCGATTATCTCAATTAACATAAGTTATATAAATTATATACTTTTCATTACAAAAAAATAACTTACTCTTGAAGCATTAAATAATTGACGGGTGATCATTTTCTTAACAATTAAAATTGGAATATAATTAAAAATATAGAAAGGACGGACTTTTTTTGTGAAATATGAAATTTTTGACTGGAAAAAAAAAAACCAGATTAAAAAAAAACTTTTTTCACTTGGTCGTGTGACAATTATTTAATTTTAAAATAAACAAACATTTTAATTATTATTATGTAATCTGTAATCAAAAATTATTTTTATTAAATCATAAATTAGTCAAAAAAGACAATGTCTAACATACGGATTGGAAACAATTTTCTGGGTTATGTAGCATTTATTGTAAAGAATTTAAACTTTAAAAAATAATGATAATAATGAGTTGTGAAATTCAAACTCTTCACACACACACACACACATATATTATATATATTTTTTATACACGTTTTTCAAAAAAATTAGTTTTACCTTGCAAAACATTAATCAAAAAAGGATTTCCATAAGTGATAATCGTTGTTGAGATGATGGGATTTTCAAATGATCTTTTTTATAAGATCTTCTTTTATATAAGAAAGGAATACATTCCAAAATGTATGTTTTCAATCATTATTTGAAATCTGTAGAAAGCAAGATGCAAACAAAGAATGCCCACATGTGTGAAATAACGGTCCAAAACGATGCTTGTACATTTGATTTTTTAGTAAAAACATCAAAACTTTAATAATAATTCGAATAAAACGAATAAACGAATAATACTATTAAAGTTTGACTTTTTTTTACTACGGAAAAAAAATTCTTTCTATTGTCTAAAAGCTTTGATCTATTTACTGCATCTTTATTTGAAGGAGAAGGCCCGTTTTTTAATATTTAAAAAAAATTTGTTGATGCAAATCTGCAAATTAGAAACCGAAAATAAAACCCTTCCTTCTCTCACATTTATGTCTTAAATAATAATAATAATAGTAATAATAAATGGGTTCAACGATCAAACTCTTTCTTTAATACATTAATAATAAAGAATGAGCCGTTAAAGAATACGTACGATACGTGGCTTTCTATTCAATAAAGCAAATACAAAAAACGTGTATAATGACATATGTTGTTAATTTCCGGTTTCCAGAAAGATTTTTACTGGAACTGGGAAATTGGAAACTGGAATATTTCGGAAATGAATTTGGAATTTGGAAAATTTTCCAATTTTGGATATTTGTGAAACCAAACTTAATTGGAAAACTTTAACAAAAAATGTCTCATGGGAAGCCACCTCATGTTTTTAATGAATTTGTTAATGTTAATAAAGATTTTTTGATAAATAAAAGCAATTTTCTGGCAATATGCAAGGGATGCATAGTTAGGAAAGTTTTTATTAGTCATTTAGTGAAGCTGTTAGAAGTAAAATTTCTAACACTGTTCCTTCCATTGAAAAACATCTTATATCTTGTGACAATTTCAAAGTTGTATATCTCAATAGAATTGAATTTGTTAATATACAACTTGAAATAATAAAAATAAAAGAAATATTTTTATATTTAATTTTCAGATGTTGTATCATATAATAATAATAAATTAATAATAAAAATTACTATGACACTATAGCTAATGGTGATGTTGAAGATGATACAACTATTTTTAATAATAATGAAGTCATTCCAATTCATTCAAATACACCCAGTCAGTAATTCTGTTATCCCAAATAAAAGAAAGGATAATAATAATCACTTGCTGACAATGAAAGATTGAAACTTTATTTAGACCAAATTTAAATCCACTTGCTGATAGTTCCCTAAATTAAAATTTGGTTTTGTTTAAAAATCTTGTGGGTGTTTTTTTTTAATAAAAATAATAAATATTTGATTCATTTTTAAACCATTTGTGTTCCAGTTTTGGTTACTGTTCCATAATAAGGTTTCTGGAAAACTGGAAACTGGAAACTGGAACGTGTGTTCCCAATTTCCGGTTTCAAAATTTAACAACACTGTTTGCAGAGATCGTCACTCAAAAAATTTATACTATATATATGGTGCTGATCACAAGTACACATCAATTTTTAAAAAACTTGATTATTTTTCCAAATTAAGTAAAAATGTTTCCAAATTTGGTAAAAGGTTTTCTGAATTATATTCAAGTCTTCAAATGATCCAAATTAGGCAACTATTTGCATACGAGTTAGTCCAATGTTTCAATTTGACCTCTCAAACAAACATAGTAATTTAGCTTGAACTTTAAAATGATATATCTCGGGTTCTATGTAACTGAATTGAAAAATCCAACCGTCAGTTTATAGCTTTACTTAAGATAAACAAAATGATGATTAGATTTTTTCAAAAAGTTTTCTCTATATTGGTGAATATCCTTTTTAGGAAAGTGTTTTTTATTGGATGTGTACTTGTGATTGGCACTATACTACCAGAGAAAAAAAAATGATATTAATTACTTCTACTACTATTATAAACTATTAACAAGAAAAAAGAATAAAATCATTCAAATAGAACCCCTAATCACATGACTATACTACCTTTAAGGATCGAAGGGGGGGTAAATTTAATAGTAATAGTAATAGATAGATATTCTAATTAGCGAATGGGTGTTGGATAAAAGTTTCCAAGGTTATACGTGATTTTCGTATACACTAGCACTAGTAGTACTAATACTAATACAGAATTGGTAAAATTTTTATCTTTTAAGAATAGTTTTAAAACAAGTGAAAAAGAAGGTGCGAGAAAGAATGAATTACTAATCAATTTTGAATTTATAAAAACCTTTGAAAAATAATTTATTATTATTCGGCCATTTTTGTTTCTTTGCAATCCAATATTATTATTCATCATCAACTAATAAATTAACTAACAATAATGAAATTATCAAAAACTACACCACCAATAATTCAATCGTTTCCCACGCATCAAAATCTTTCTAAACATTTGTCTGATATGATTGTAGAATTATCAAAAAAATCGATTGCCACTCGTGGAAGATTTACTATTGGTTTGTCGGGTGGCAGTTTGCCAAAAATTTTATCACTAAAGTTAAAAAGTCATAAATGTGATGTTGAATGGAATAAGTGGCAAGTGTTTTTCTGTGATGAAAGGTAAAACATGTCAATCGAAGAATAAATTAATTGAATAATTAATAATAAAAAATAATAATTAAATTATTTTTAAAGGCTTGTACCATTAGGTCATCCTGATTCAAATTATTTACTTTGTAAAAATGAATTATTTAATCATTTACCAATTCCTAAACAAAACATACATGTGATCAATGAAGAATTGGTTCTGAAAATTGATGAAATAGTTGCAAAAATAGAATCTATTAAACAAGAAACAGGCTTCACTGATGGTGACAGTGAGAACGATAAAACCAAGGATGCGAATGATGGTGAAATCACCGAAGATGGAAAAGTATCATCTCCCTCTAAATTTGATCAACTAAAACAAACATTAGAAGATCTTTTGTTGGAAGTAGTTGATGATTATGAGAAGCAATTAATTGATGTATTTGCCGGGGTCAATTCAGTAAAATTTCCTGTATTCGATCTACTTTTGTTAGGCATAGGTCCTGATGGTCACACCTGTTCATTATTTCCAAATCATCCACAACTTGACGAATCTGCTCTTTGGGTAACTTATATTTACAATTCGCCAAAACCTCCACCTAGACGTATAACATTCACTCTGCCTGTTGTTAATCATGCACATAATGTTGTGTTTGTAGCAACGGGCAAGGGTAAGCAAGATGTTTTACGTGATATATTAGAAAATAGTGATAATAAAAATTTACATTTACCTGCTACTTTTGTAAAACCTGTTAATGGTAAACTATATTGGTTTTTGGATGATGAAGATGTTGCTAAGCTTTAGATTAGATGATTAAAAATCATTTGTTCTATTTTATTTTAACATAATAAAATTATTTAGCTTTTAATTTATTATTTTACTTAATAAATTAAATGCACATTTTTCTAAATTTAAAATATACACAAGTTATTTTGTCTGTTTTGCCTGCCTAATTCAATAAATTCCCTAGGAACAAGCCCAATATTATTAGTAAATTGAAAGAGTTTGCATTATTTGAAGTTGAATGATTGATGATATTCAAACTTTGCTATATAGTAAAGGGGACGCCATGAAGAATTTTCATTATATATTTTAGTCAACATATTTAATTAAATCATTGTTTTTTTAATTAATAATTGGATTATAAACAAGTTGAATTTCTACGGAAGCACACATGACGAGTATTTTGATTTATTATTATTATTTGTTGAAAGCGCCAAAAGAATTTATTATTAAAAAGAGATACAAGTATGAGTTGTGATAAGCTTTTAGTCAGTAGCGTGTTCTTTTTTTTGTTTTATGGTAAAACCCTATCAACTGACACAAGATTAGCTCCTGAATAATGAAGTTCGAATCGAATCGAATCACCTAATTTTTGATTCGAACTAATTCGAATCTATAGCAATCATTATTATTTAGATTTAATGAATTTATTAAATGAATTGTGCAACTGTAAACCGTATTACTTTTTTATTCGTCATTCATTATTATTATTGTTATTATTAATAATGGTGGTGGTGGCCGAAACTACCTTACTTGGTGGGTCGAAATTGCCGAAATTAATTGGTCTAAAGTGGCGAAACTAATTTTAATATTTTTCAAAATAGTTTCGGCCATCATCACTAAATAATATTCTTTATCAATTAAAAATTTTTAAAAATATACACTATCTTGGCTTAGCAGATAATTTGGGCAGTTAGAAAAATTTTTCCAAAAATCCGTTGTTATTATATTAATACAGTCAGACCTTGTCACAGCGAACTATAATTAGATTTTTAAAAATTTTGTTTCACATATTAATGATAAATCCGTTATGGCAAGATTAGCAATTTAAATTACAATCTTGCCACAACGGGACTTTAAATAATATTTTCTTATCGTTATATGATCGTTCATCCGCTATGACAAGGTTTGAATGTATCAAGAAATCCGTTATATTGAGGGAATATTATTATTATTAAACACTAAATTGTGATTCACTGTGTAATATAAATTTAATATGACGTTAAAAAAAAACTTAGGAGTTCGGTTTGGTTCGATTCGGTTCGATTCGTTCGGAGCCTTATATGTAAGGACAACGACTCTGAATGTAAATAATAAGTTCATTTTACATAATTCACATGTAATAGCCTATTTACTATTACAGTTAGAACTGATAGATAGACAACGATTGCGTGGATTTAGGAAAATACAAATTTGGAAAGAAATATGAATTGATGGTGATCATCATCGTAACAAAATAAATTTGTTCTCGATAATCATCATCATTCAAGATTGTTTATTTAAAACAGCAAGATACATTAGACCATACTCTTTTTTTGAGGGGCTTATTTTTTTTTAGTTAGACACGCGCACAGCTTTGTTGTTTTTGGGGCATACTTTAATAATAAAAACCTTGTATTAATTAAAATAATTGATTCATATTATATTTATCAATTTAAAAATGTTATTATTATTGTAATCTAAAAAATAAAACATAATATGGAGTATTGGGAAAGAGACAATCAATAGACAATGGACTTATGATTATTATGTCCAAACTCAAAATAGTATTCAGTTTTTTTTTTACAATTGGAACCAATTATTCTTATGTTTAAGAGTTTTCAGAAGGAGGACAAGTTGATAAGTGAGTGGGTGACATGTATAACAAAATGGCCAAATTCACACAATATTGGATTTCCGTTAGAAATTTGTGAAAAATTATATTGTTTTGTGTGTAATGCTACATCAATCCAATGGTTTGTTCAGGGACCTGGAAAACATGATAATAGAGTGTTAGAAGGAAGAATCTTGTACCAGCAAATACACAACAGGTTTCATTATAAAATCAAAAATAAAAGTTATCTTTTTATGTCTATCAATATTGGTTTGCATGTGAATTGATTGGAGGAGAAAACTTGCAACAAAAACAATATTTAATGTTTATTTTAATAATAGAGATTTTATATATTCTTAACAATAATATTGGTATACCAATGAACATAGAGCATGTTTTGATGAGTAATAATTTTATTTTTATGCTCATAAAAGAATGAATTGTTTGACGATGTAGCAACTGGAGAATTCACACATCTGTTTAAGCCTTTTTATAAAATATAAAACATATTATTTTGTTTCTAGAACTGCTTAAAGGTGGAAAATTTGGAAAAACGATTTCTGGTAGAATTTTGGAAATATAAACATTATAGAATTTATGAAATGCTTAAAGGTGGAAAAAATTCATTTTTCTAAAAACAAGATTGAGATATATAAAAATATCATGTTGCCATGGAATGTTGTTGAAACCTTTTGGTAATACAATACATGCAGCTCAAATTGTTTTGACATTTGAAATATGTATCATATTCAATGTTTCACCCACATATGTCATAACTAAGCTTGAGACTTTTGACATAAGGAAATCAATTTGGGATGCACGTACAAGCATTATTGATCTATCATGAGATGATAGAATAAGAGAATGAAAGGTTGAGTTGAAGGTCGTTTCAAAAGATCTTGGACATGTTGGCTGACATCGTTTCTTGTTGTTGCTCAATAGTAAAATCGTTAGAAGATGGAGCAATTGGCGGTTGTTTAACTTATGGCCATGTTAACCTTTTGACGCTGGATGTTATTATAAAATTTTTGTTCTACTACTACCAAACGGGTGGCATTCATTTTGACAGACAACTCGGGAGGTTACATTTAACCTCCACATAATCAAACAACTAATAAAATGCTAAAATGGCGCGCCGCACGTTATCAGTAAAATGAACTGTCAGTAAAATGTGCCGGTAAAGTAATACGTACCACCACCAAACAGTTACGAATACGACTTGAATTTGTTACTTTGTTATTAAAGTATAATTAATTGAGGAATCATTCTTTTTTTAATATTATTCTGTATAGCCCACAATATTGTTGATAGGTAATTTTTTTCTTGGTTTTGTATATCAACCTTTGGAAATGTTTAAGACAAAAGTCAGACATATGAAAGTAATCTATAATAGTAAAATAGTAATTTTACATATCAATAATAATAAATAAATTGGAAATGATTTACGAAAGTTGCACGCAAACAAATCGAAAAAACTGATCAAGTATTCAAACCAGTCCAATTTTTCAATCAAATTGACTCATGGAAAATATCTCAAACAACGGAGAAATAAATATTCTAACATTCTAAAATGCAACATACCTTTAATTCTTAGGTTTAATTTAAACGAAGGAATTTAAATGATTGGATCACTTTAGAAATAACTTGAAAATAATTCTACACGGAAGGTTCAAGTAATACATTTAATTAGAATTGGAGGTCATGCATAAATAGATAACGTTGTAATTTTCTCAACTTTGTGTGACATTATTAATCAATCATCTTTAGTCAAGATCTATGAAGTTTGCAAAACGAATGTGATGATTAAAACACTTACTTCGCCTATATAATCATTATCTCTTAAACGGTCAGAGTATATTTTAATGGTAACACAAATCAAGGTTTTGATCATTCTTATTGGTCAATTTAACGATCAGCAAAGTAAAAACAGTCAATCGACCAACTTTTAAAGAAGATTTTACAAAAACCATAAGGACAACAACTGGATTTTTATTTATAGATTAATCGGCTGAATCTCAAAGATCATTTCGTATTAGAAAGTGATGCCCTCAGAAAAAATTTTTTATATCAGAAAAATTTTATTGGCTATCAATAGCCGATTAACTGTTTAGGGGATAATAATTATAATAATAATTATTATTTAACATTATACAACATTAAAAAAGAACGCATTGAACCAGATGTAAAATGGAAAAATGACTTTAAGCGGCTTGATGTCAAAAAAGAAGGAGAAATATTCGTAATGTATTGCAGAATTGTTGTGAAGCTAAAAAAAAATGCATTCACTAATGGCTGTAAAATATATAAAAGAGATTATCTGGTCTGACATCAGGCTATAGCTGATCATAAACGACTGGTTAATTTAAATTTATATCAAGCTAAAATCAAAACCTTCCTACTACCATCAACAAATAAAAAAAATCAAGTCAAAAACCAACTCACATATCACCACCACCAAGTCAGTCACCAAGTCAGCCACCAAGTCAGTTGCAAACTCAGTTGCAAACTTGGTTGCCAAGTCAGCATTAACACCAAATTACAATCTACTAGAAAACAGGCATTAATAATTAATTAAATTAATTGTATTATATTTGTCATTATCAATTAATTTGTTTATTATCTAATTCTTTTTTTTTTTTTTTACAAACAGTGATGAATATAGAATTTAAAAAATGGAATTATTATATATAGAAGGAAATCACAATGAATATATTTATATTAAGGTTTCTGGCCGAAACTGCTTCTATTAGTAGCCGAAGCTGCCCAAATACTTTGGACAAAAATTATTTTTTTGTAAGCCCAAACTACTTTTTGTTATTAGCTGAAATTGGGCAAAATTATTTTAAAGTTGTTTAAGTTAAAACAAGTTGATTCGTATAGTTTTTAATGTTCATGCTTATAAAAAATGTTGAGAAGCCCAAATTGCCCAAACTATTTTGAGCTTTGAGAAAACAGTTTGGACTAGAAACCTTAATTTATATGGACAATTTCCGATGTTATACAAAGGCATCACCACTGGTAAATTTAAATTAAACATCAAGGTATTAAATACCATCGATCCTAATCAAAAAGCTGAAGTGAACATCAATCATGGAATTATTGAAATTATTTTCAAAAAACTTAGATTTCAAAAAGTAGAAATTATCTAATTTTAATTTTTATATATAATTTTCAAATTATATATTTATATAAATTTTATATATCATAAATATTTTTTAAATTTATTATATTTTTTGTTTTTATATATAAATATTATATATTGTAAATATTTTTATGATTTTTGATTTTCAGGATGTTCATAAAGAGATTGCTTCAAAAGTTGAATTGGGTTGCAAAATTCCACCACCAAATGTTGTATTACTCAAACCAGGTCAGAAGCTAAAAGTGATGAAGCAGTTTTTGAATCAATAAATATGTATATTAAAGAGCTTAAACAAAATGTTGTGTGATAAAGCCATCTTCAGGAGAACTAAAACCTACCATAATGAAAATTTGACTGAAAGATTCATCTTAGGCCAGTGGCATACTTCAAAATCTATGGCTAATGCCTTAATAACTGCTTTCAGTGGATATGCCATTTACAATATTGCTACTGCACTTGGAGTTCGTTTTTAGACCAATTAGAAAAGAATATTGATTACAGGGCTACAACTTCCTTTTTAAATCTCATTTGGGCTGCTGTTGGAATATCTATTCATAAATATGTGACAAACAAAAATATGTCAATTAATGATATTCCCAATGGAAATAATGATGTTTTAAAAGTATGGTATTTATACTTCTGCTTATCTGGGTTTTGGAAGGGGCATCAACTTAGTCTCAATTTCTTAAATGTATAACAAAATTCGGAATTTTCAAAATGCTAAGGCTCAGCCAATTTTCAGTTTAAGAAAAAACCAGCCGATAAGTTTTGAAGCTTGAGTCATGAACAATAAAACTTATTGGTTAAATTTTTTAAAATGATATAATTTTTTTTAGTATTTTGAAGTTGACCAATTGTTACTATAAGCAATTAATGATGATCTGCACCGTAATAATAGTAAATAGTAGTAGCCGACATCTTTCTTTTCTTTTCTTAAGTCATAGTACTAGTAACCATAGTAGATTATAAATGTAATTAATTATCTTGTTAAAAGAAATAAGACCCTATTTATAATTTTACATTTTATATTTTATAAAATGAATAAAACGATATAAAACGAACAAGTGTGACCAATTTTTGAAATGTGACGTGTAACCAGCTCAGTTTCAAAAATCGGAGTTTAACCGGTTCAATAAACTGCAGTTTGAAATGTGTAAACCAAACCGCCGGTTGAACCGGTTTGGGTTAAACCATTCCCATCCCTACCTGTTCGCTTATGATTATATTATAATTAATAAAAATGTAATTTTTTCAAATTGAATTTATATATATATATTTTATTTTTATACAATAAAATTCAATGCGAAATGTTAATTAAATATAAAAAATCAAGATTTACATTGCAATGTAACGACAATGCGTTGTGCAATGTTGGATAGGCTGCGCATCTTGAAATAAGGTTGTACAATGGTACCCATTTACATCGCGATGCAATTTTATAATTAAGATCGTGATGATGTTGTGTATTAATAATAAAATGCTTACTGAAACTATTATAGATGTTCCATGCGCATGAAAAAAAATGCAATGCGCATGATTTTTTTTCAAATCATATGCAGAAATTAAATTTTACAATATAAATCTCGTTAGTGGTATATTTGGCAACTCATGGGGATATCTACCAATAATGTGAATTTATTAACCTGGTAGAAAGGTGATTTTGGAGCTGTGGCATCTGAATTGACAAAAGTTGCGGTAAGGGTTCTTTCTATTCCTACCTCATCAGCTGCAGCAGAAAGGAATTGGTCTACATTTTCTCATATACATGATAAAAAACGAAATAAATTGACGAATGATCGTGTTTTTGAATTAGTTTATATATATTTTAATAATAAATTGAAAACCCCAAAGATAAGTAAAGTTACAAATGTAGGTGGAGATATTGACAATAGTGATGATGACGATAATGATGATAGTGATGATACTGTTGATGATAGTGATGACAATGTTGATAATAGTGATATTGACAATGATGATGAAAATGGATTATCTGTAAACATTTAATTTTCATAATATATTTTTAATAATGAATAAATAATGCATTAAAAATGTTAAAAGTAGTAATGTCAAATATAATGTTGAGTGATTTTTTTTTAAAAAAAAAAAATACACTGCATCATGTGCATGAAATTTGAAATTTCCCATCCCTAGAAACTATTTGTATAACATTTTAAAATATCATATTGAACTGGTAATTTATGATGTTTAAAAGACGAATTGAAAATTTTTAGAAAAAGCTGCACTTGGAGATATTTTAAGATGCCATGTTTTATTTAACAGATCTTGGAAACTTGGAAAATGTTGTTACATTTGTTCTAATATACTTAAATTTTTATAATTATTGGCCAAATATTCATGGGGAATTAAAAAAAAAAATTTCACCCACAATTTGCAAATATTTTACATAACAAACCTTTATTAAATTTGCATCAAAAGAATTCATTTATTCAATATTTTGTCAGTTTCCTTTTGGATCAATTGCAGCTTGAACCCTTTGAGACATGCTGTCTACTAATTTTTGCAAATAATCAGGATCAAGATTAGCTCACTGATCCATCAAATAAGAAACTCATTCATTTGTATTTTTTGGAGGAGCAATAGTAGTTCGATCTTGAATGCTTTTATTGCATGAGTTACTTGTGACTGAGAATGATTGAGTGCACCAGCAACATCATGAGTGCTTTCACCTCTTCCCAACGTCCAATTATTCTTCCTTGTTCAAAATCTGTTAATTGTGACATGATGTTCTAATTAAAATAACAAGTTGAAAGTTCAATAAAAAAAAGTTTGGTTAGATATTTCAGCCGCAATTGCCATTTAAAGTTTGTACATGCATAACAATCATCTTGTATTATGATTTTTTTGTTATTTTACACTTTGTATTAATTCTCCATGAATATTTGGCCAATAATTATAAAAAATTTAAGTATATTAGTATACATTTGAGAACAAATATAACAACATTTTCCAAGTTTCCAAGATCTGTTAAATAAAACATGGCATCTTAAAATATCACCAATCGTCCAAAAAATCCTTAGTCGACTACTAGTTGGTCAAATTTTCTTTTAGTCGACTATTTAGTCGACTAAATTTTTTAAATACTAGCGTGTAACCATTTGCTTCGCAAAATGGCCACACACTAGTCACGGGAATAACATCCTATTTAGAATATTCATTCTGTTTAACGGTTTTTTTTAATTTGCAGATTACAATCTTTAATTTTCTCGAAATACTTCCATACGAAGCTATAATTCGAAAGGTCTGGAACCACTGCTTTAGCTCGAAGCCAACGAATTGTTGGAATGATTTGACATTGTATCAATGTTTATTATTTCGCATGGATAATTATCGCCAACACCAGCACCAACACCACCATTATCATCTTCTTCATAATATTGATACTCCCCATATTTATTTTCCATTAAATTTTTTTGTACAACAAAAAACGTTTTCATTTATAATTGGCCAGACAATAATAATAATTAGTATTAGTCGACTATTATGATTAGTTGTTTAAAAAAAAAGTTAGTTGACTAAATTAGTCGACTATTTAGTCGATTCCAACCTCTAATCTCCAAGCGCAACTTTTTCTAAAAATTTTTGGAAATTTTTAAGTTAAACATCATAAAATTATCAGTTCAATACAAGTAGTTTCAGTAGTGTTTTTTTATTGATACACAACATTGGTTTGTTTAATAAGCAAATGATTATTTATATTACTATACACAAAGAGCAGTTTTCTGTTCCTTGTTACACGGCCAAACCTGATTTTTATTGATCGTTCAGAAGGAATCAGAAAAATAAAAAATAACCTTTATTGGAGCAAGTAAAAATAATAATGGCATTAGCGAATAAGTCCTTCCTGTAAAAGGATATGATATTGTTGATCACCTTTGGGGCACAAGGAAATGTAGGAGCAGGAAATAGTTTTTACCAAGTAAATCCTTTTATAGCTTCCACTAATAATTAGGAACAACAACAACAAAATCTTTATGCTCAACTTCCTCCATTATTAATTTACATCAATATTATTATCAACAACAAAACGAATCGTTTAACCAGTGGTTTCACCCAAACACCAACATCATTATTTATTACACAAAATCAGGGTTTTGTGTGTGCGTGAAAAAAATCTGCTTATTACAAGAAAGAAACTATTCCTATCGCGTCAAATCTTGTCAGATAAACAATGGACAATGAAACAATGAAAAAATGCTAAATTACATAATTGTGTAATCACTTTACGGTTCACAAAATATTTCTTTTAAGACACGTTAATAAAAAAAGATACCTTTTTAAGAAACATACATGAAAGGGGCTTTTTACGATATACTATTTTCGTGGAAAAAACAAGAAAGATCGACATTTAAATTTCTCAAGATATGACGACGAGATACAGTAGTTTGTAATAATAATGGGAATTCTGTTATCTGTCGTTCATTACTTTGTCTAAAAAAAAGTTTATGATTTCATTTAATTTAGAACAAAACGAACTGAAAAAATAAAAATAAAATTTTTATTAATTAAAATATGAATTACACACGATATTCCGTTTTACAACCAGGAAATTATGATAATTTCATCCAAAGTGAACCAGTTAATTATGACAATGACAATGATGATAATAATATTACTATCAACAATGATGAATATCAAATGATCAGGTTGGTTGTTGATTATTATTATTACTATTTATTATTGTTCAAAAATTTTACTTTTATTTGTTTCTAATTAAACAAATCAAATAAATATAATATATATATGCGCACATATACATAAAATGTAGAAAATTTAATTATGGAAGAAAGCTTAACGTGTTCAAAGCATATAAAAAACCTATTGAATCAGAATTCTATATTATAAAAAAATATGATGATATTGTTTCATATAAAAGAGAAATAGATGCATTGATTCCATTAAAAAAGGCAAAGGTAATTTTTTAATGTGTTGCTATGAATCAGACAAAATATGTATTTAAATTTTCTTTTTTTATTATAGAATATTATGCAGATTATAGATTATGATTTATATAAGATGGTGGTTGTTAGTGAATGTGCACTATATGATTTAGAAACTTTTTTTGAACACCAGGCATGGACCCAAAGACAAGCAGAAAAGATACCAATAATAAAAGTAAGTCGTTCATAAAAATCTAAAATTTAAAATTTATATTATATGCTATGTCTGACAAATCATACATCTTTAAAACATTTTATAGGACATTGTAAATGCATTATCTGAATGTCAACATAAAAATATAGGTAATTATTCACATATTAACATGCATATTTAATTATTTGTTTATTTATACAATGAAGCTAATTCTCATTTCTCATAAATAAAATAGTTCATTTGGATTTATCACCAAAAAATATAATGTATTTTCATGATAAAAACTGGAAATTAATAGACTTTGATTCTGCATGTATAGCAGATAAAACCTATGTGTCAAAAACCACAACAATAAAATATTGCAGCCCTGAATTAATACAAGCTGAAGCAGATGGAAGAGAGATAAAAGCACAATTTTCCATGGATATGTTCTCATTTGGATTAATTTTATATTACATTGAAAATGGTTATTGGAATATTGCTGATCAAAAAAGTCCTGATAAAAAATTACCAATAACTACTACTGGGGATTCCTATACTATTAATGTTATTGAGAATTTGTTGGAAAAAAATGTTAATAACAGGTATAAATCTATTTTGATATTTTATAATTTTTATGATTTTTATATTTTTATTTACACACAGTTAGCTAATCTTTTTCTTTTTCTACAAAATCACTTTAGAATGACATTGGCTCAATTTAAGGTAAGAATGAAATCTTATAAAGAACCAATTGCATTTTTAGTTTATTAATGTTATAACTTTTATAAAAGGAAACAACATATTATGAGAAATTATCAAAAGGCAACATTCAAGGTGATTTTAACCATGCCCAAAATAAAATCATTGTAGAAAGCAAGTATTCTTTCTTGGTACAAAGAGGCGTGATTAATGAACATTGATAAATAATAATAATATTTTTCTATTCTTTGTTTCTTTAGAATGGACTTATCATGAAAAATCTAAAGTGCAAATTGAAAAAGAGGCCAAAGAACTTAATCCAGATATAAAAGATGATGAATTAAAAAAAATGAATCTTGATTTACGACAAGTAAAGTTTCAAATTATAATTAATATAAATATAAAATCTGCATATGAATAATTATTGTTGCTGCATGTATGTAGGAACGATTTTTATCATTCTTGGAAAGGTATCATCAAGAAATGAAAATAAGTTTGAATGAAATGAATGAGAAATTAGATGAGGTTAAGACTTCTGTGTTAAATCTTACTGAAACAATTCCACGAATGGTATTCATTATTTGCAAAATTTTTTACTGGTTTGTTTATTGTCAATCATGTGATTAACACAAGAATTTTTGGTTTACATAGTTAGTAAAAATACAGAATGAGAAAACACCTAGAGTTTTTATAATGGTACCTCAACGTCGTGAGTTTAAAAATCCAATGTAGGCAAAATTTACCAGATTTATCATTTTATAAAAAACATCTTTCAAATAATTATGTAATTATTTTTTGCAGGACCTGGTACACAAATCCATTCAGAATGTATTTTGTATGTGAACACAATAATAATTGGCATGTACCAGAGCAAGAGGGCTATGTGATCACAAAAGTTCCTGAATTCATTAAAAAATATGGACCTTGGATACAATTATGGTAAAAAAATTAACTACCATAAATTACAAAAAAACATATTTCTTTAAATTGACTAATAAATAGATTATCATTATTAGTATTAAAGCCTTAGTATTTGGATTACGTATGGTGACTAGTAATTTATTTCCACAGGAAATAGGCAATATTCTTTCAGGAGTATTTAATGTAAAAATTGACAACAGTGATGAAATTGTTCATTATTTTCAAGAGATAATTAATACAATTGGTGTTGGAGTGAAAGAAATCAATGATATTAACCCTGATTTAGTTCCATTGGAACGTGATATAGAAAGTAATTATCAGGTTTTAAATGCTTCTGGAATACGTGCTTTAGCAAGTAAGTAAATTCATAAAATTGTCTCCTCCTAAAAATACTATGATTTTTATTATAACTAAATACAATTATAATTATTCTTTGTTTTGCATAGGTTTTATTAAAAGTAAACGTAAACATGAAAATTTTGGAGGCTTAGTCCAATGTATAGATAAAAAAAACCAGAATGTCATATGGTTATGTGATGAGCATCGAAATGATAACAATTATACACTTAAAGATGAACCACAATCTCCACATTCAACCCATCCACTTTGTCGGAATTTAACTCTCCCAACCTCTCCAACCTCTCCAACCTCCCCAACTTATTCAACCTCTCCAACTTATCCAACCTCTCCAACTTATCCAACCTCTCCAACCTTTCCAATCTCTCCAACCTTTCCAATCTCTTGTGAATTAATACGCAATCCAACACATCCATTTGGCAGTTATAATGGTCATAGAAATGATCAAAAAGAAGTGTGTCCATCACTGCCTATTTCTAAATCAAATTCTGAAGAGTCAATGGATATTGATGGCCCAGTTCCATTAATGAATTTGGTTAATGAAATTCTTCTAGATGTTTTTGATAATGCATTATCATCTGAACGCATTCATTTTGACACTGCCAAAATTAAAAAAGAGACATGCAATATGCGTGGAAATTTGAAGAATCTTGAGCAATTTTATCAAAATTGGCTTGATGCTCTTGACACTCAACAAAAAGAGCTCTTAAAAGCCATACTAAATAGGTATATTATAGGTTATGTCTATTTTTTAACAGTGATTTATCGATATTGTTATGGTATGTAAAATTATCTAATTTAATTAATCATTTAACTTTCTGCTAAAAAAATTTTTTAATTACATACATTTTCTTTTTTTAAAAATATACAAGTAAAAGCAACAAACAAACTTATGAGTCGAACAATTAATTGCCTTAATGATCTACCCATTGTTAATAAGTATTTATATAATTGATTTATTGCCAATTGAAATTTACTCTCTTGATTTTAATTTTAATTATATCTTATGTAAATATATTGCCTTATGTTTTAGAATTCTTAAAGCAACAAGTGCATTGAATGAATTTTATGCCAGGTTAATAAAATGTTTGAAAAATAATAATCTAAAAGGCATTGAACAAAATTTAAACAAGCTTAATTTAAATTCCAAAGCTTTAAATAAAATTTCTCGACCTAATAAATTAATGAGGAATAATATTTTAAAAGGATGGTATATAATTCGTAAAACATCTACAATTCATGATGATGATGTTGAAGAAAATGAATGTAATGGAGAAAATGAAATTGATATTACTCAAAGCATCAAAGATGAAATCAGCAGTACCTTTGTCCATAATAATGACAATAATAATAGGGAGAACAATGATGAATATAAAAAGGCCTTTAATGATATTTTAGTGATAAAAAATAGAAGGTTAAAAGGAAATATTCCTGTTTTTGGAAAAGAGTTAGATTCTAAATGTTTCAATAAAGAGAGTAATATAGATTGCATAGAGAAGGAAATTTATATGTATAGTGAACAACATTTGAATGACTCAGATTATATTTTAAGATTTCTAGGGTTCACTGTAGACAAATTCAAACCAATACTTCATTATGAATATGCTAACTATGGAAATTTGTACAAGCATTTAAAAAACAACCAAAATTTGCCTGAAAATAAAAAACTGACTTTGGATGCCAAACTAAATTTGTCATTAGATATATGTTTAGGACTTGAATTTTTACATGAAGTAAGTTTACACGTTATTTATAATTTTATTTTTTTGCACTTTTCTCACCACATGAACACTCTTTTAATTCTTAACCTATTTTTTTTTTGTTAAGAAACGCATTCTGCATTTGGATTTGAGAAGCAGCAATATATATCTGTTTAAAAATGGATATGAGAATGAATTTCTAAAGCCAAAAATTTCCAATTTTTTACACAGTGTAGATACATTGAATAAGTACACAACTGTTAAACCATGTTTACCAAAAAGTATTGACAATCAAGTCAGGAAAAGATGGCATGAACCACAACGTTTAGAAAATGAAAGGCATAATTGTACAGTTGAATCAGATTATTATAGTTTGGGAATGTTGCTTTGGGAAATATTTAATGCAACAGGAGCTTTGCCATATGAAAAAATAAAAATTGTGAATTTATATGAACATTTGAAGAATGAGCGTGAAAAATTTCCAAAAAATTTACTACCACAATATTTGATAAACAGAATAACTGAGACGTGGAAGTATAATGTTAGTGAACGGACGACTTTAGCTATTATGATTACGGCATTAAATGGTGTTGACAAGAGAAGGTGCAAAAGAACAACTACGGAATTAACTAGAGTTTCTACAACTTCAACAAATCGAACAGGTATATATATTCTTCTTTTCATCAGAAATTGTTTATTATACAAAATAATATTCATAAAATTATAATTTTTTTTAACAGTAGTTGTTAATCAACAATGCTTGACAGAATCTGAAATGGTAATTCAAAAATATTGTGAAAAAGTTGATAACCAATTATACGATTATTGAATTATATCTTTCTGCTTTTTTTTAAAAAAAAATTTTTAAATGTAAGTCGAACCTCGTTCGTTATAACGAGGAGTTCGATAACCATAACGTGATATTTTTATTGTACAAAAAAAAATTTACAAACGATAATTAATATAATGTAGTGTTATCATTAATTGGCAAAATAAGAAGTTATTTTTCCTTGGTTTATATTTTTAGAATTATAAATTAATTTTAAAGTCATTTGTTAGATATTATTAACTTGACCTTTGCTAATCCCAAATTTTTGGCTAAATCAATATTTTTTTTTTATTCGGTTTCTTGTTGGACACGTTTTTTTGATTCTTGTTGAGACATATTAGAATTAGAAAATTTTTTTTATGTTTCAAGAAATATTAATGTTTAAATTTTTTTATGAGCCGTCTGTATCATAAAATATTCTCAAATGATTTTATCATGTTTTATTTGAATGATTATTTATTTTGTATTTGTTAGGTGGCGCATGATCACTAATGAGGGATCCCAATATCAACAGATTTTCTAATAATTATAACAAACTTGAATATTTTAATGGTAACGACAATGATAATAATGAGAATAAGAATGTAGTGAGAGTTAATGTCAAAATCAAGGTATGTAACTAATGATATACTAAAGTCTTTATTTTTATTTTTCTTTATATCAGCAGTGTTTGATAATTAACAGAACTCGGAAGAGTTCATAATCGTAAAGACACGATCCTAGGAATTCCCAATTTTCTATTAGAAGACTTGCTCTTTGTGAAGGAGTAAAGCGCATGTCCAATCTTGCATATGATGAAACTCGTAGTATGAATAATTCGGATAAACGAATAATTTGAGTTGTACTCCTATTACTATTACTATTACTATTACTGGTAATTCGAATTTGCATTGCGAATAGAAACTCTAGCTCAACTCAATAACAATAAAGATTTTTCAAACGTTTTGCATTTCGATTTAATTCTCCACAAATATCTGAGCAAATTTTTATACAGTCAAACCTTAACAAATTATAATTAAGTTCGCGTTACAACGAATTTTTAAAAGGGTACTTTTTTCGAGATATACAGAGGACCTCGGACAATTATAATTGAACTGGTATTGAGAAAATCTCGTTAAAACACCAGTCAGATCTTCAAGCATTTACATAATAAAAATTGGATTTTTAAAAAAATGGCCCATAAAGGAAACTCACTAGCCATTTTTAGTAAGATATTCTGAGTATTTTTTCACAACTTTTTATATGTTTTCTTACATACCAGTTCAAATATGATTGTCCGAGGTCCTATATACAGTACCTTCTAAATTAATAAATATATGATTTTCAATGTGACTAATCATGAAATCACATTGGCTACTGGTGATGTATTAGTACCCTATGTCAAATACAGTCTACTCTCTTTATAACAACTGACCCTCTCTATAATGACCACCAAGTAAAATTTCTCTATTTTTGTCTCTGTTTCAATTTTTTATAATTAATTTCTCTCTTTATAATAACCATCTTAATAAACTCTCTCTATAACAACTAAAATCAGAGAAATTACATATAGGGACAGAGGGTTTGTTATAGAGAGTGAACTGTAGCATGGTGGAATTTTGTTTTATCACATTTGTTACTTTGTGATGATCTCAAAATTACACTGTGCATAGGGATGGGGCGGTTCGGTTCGGTTTTGGTTCAGCGAAACCGGTTTATTGCACAAACTTTTTATAGATTATACATGCAGATCATTCTTTGTATACAACATATCAGTGTTGAAAATTCAATCGGCGGGTGTCACGTTACACAGAGCGTGTGCACGTCTATTTTTTAATTACAATTTATTTATTATTTTTGCAAAAAAAAATTAATTAAATTAATTAATTTCTCCATGTTTTTTTACATTCCCAATTTTCATATGCTTTCAAAAAATCAAAATCCTCAATTTCTGGACCATTTAATAAAATCATTAAATGATCATCTAATGTATTTAGATGCATTTTGTTCCTCAAATTGTTTTTAATTATTTTCACTTGAGAAAATATTCTTTCTACATGAGAATTAGAAAGAGGTATAAGAAGTGCTATTTTAACAACTAGTAGCATAGTTGGATAATTTTTAATTTGATTTGTGTATAATAATTAATATTTTTCATAAATAAATATTTCCGTGCACATGGAAATTTGGTGTAACGTGACACCCGCCGATTGAATTTTCAACGCTGCAACATATTTCTATAATAACAATAACAAATCGAATTATTTATCATAATAGGATGAACTTGAAAAAACAAATCATTTCATTCAAAAATAATCATTTTAGGTTGTATATATTATAGATGCTGCCCAAATTCAAAATCAAGACTCCCAAATCCCAAATTATTTTGTGCATCCCAAATGCACAAATCCCAAATTATTTGTGCATCCCAAACTACTTATGACGCCCCAATTTACTTATGACATCCCAAATTACTTATGACATCCCAAATTATTTATGACATCCCAAACTATTTGTAGCATCCCAAATTGTTTGACATTTCAAATTATTATGCTCCAAACCTAAAATAAAAATTTTTTTTTTGCTCATCATCAATATTAAAAAGATGGATTTTTTTTTAGAGAAATTAATTATTTTCTTGAAGGAAAACTGAAATTGTTAAGGGTAGAGTTCAGTTACACAGTATATCATATAGAAATGGATGGCAAAATGTGTCAATCATTTGAAACCACAACACAATTTAACATTCAATGCCTTTAATCCATTTAATATAACAACAAATATAATTTATTCAGATATATGACCATTTGTTATTACAATTTGTCATTACAATTTGTCATTACAAAATAGATATATTACATTGACCTGTTGATAATTGTTTATATCCTTTAGCGAAAACAGCCAAGCATTGTTTGTGGTTGTCCAAGTTTAATGATATTTTACTAATTTACTATTTCAGGAATAATTGATAATGCTTTTATATACAGTTGACAAATCAATAATAAAGTAATACTTCACTTATTTT